AGGGAGACCCAGTCACACCCAGTGACACCCAGAGACACCGAGAGACTCCCAGAGACACCCAGTCACTCCCAGAGACACCCATAGACACCCAGTCAAACCCAGAGACACCCAGAGACACCCAGAGACTCCCAGTCACACCCAGAGACACCCAGAGACACCCAGAGACATCCAGAGACACCCAGACACACCCACACACACCAAGGGAGACCCAGTCACACCCAGTGACACCCAGAGACACCGGGAGACTCCCAGAGACACCCAGTCACACCCAGAGAGACCCAGTCGCACCCAGAGAGACCCACAGACACCAAGAGACTCCCAGAGACACCCAGAGAGACCCAGAGACACCCAGAGAGACCCAGAGACACCCAGAGACACCCAGAGAGACCCAGAGAGACCCAGTCAAACCCAGAGAGACCCAGTCAAACCCAGACACACCCAGAGAGACCCATAGACTCCCAGAGACACCCAGAAAGACCCAGAGACACGCAGAGACTCCCAGAGACGCCCAGAAAGTCCCAGAGACACGCAGAGACACCCAGAGACATCCAGAGAGACCCAGAGACACCCAGAGAGACCCAGAGACACCCACACACACCCAGAGACACCCAGTCAGACCCAGTAACACCCAGAGACACCCAGTCACATCCAGTGACACCCAGAGAGACCCAGTGACACCCAGAGACACCCGGAGCTCCAACAGAGAGACTCAGAGACACCCAGTGGGCCCCAGTGGCATCCAGCAAGGTCCAGAGACTCCAGTGTCATACAGTGAGACCTGATAGCACCCAGTGAGCCCCAGCAACACCCAGAGACATCCAGTGACACCCAGTGGTACTCATTCATACCCAATGACACCCAGTATCAGTCTGTGACTCAATGAAGCCCAATTACAGCCAATGACACTGTGCGACACCCTGTGTCACCCAGTAACACAGACACACAACCGATAACACCCTGTGACACCCAGTAACACAGACACACAACCGATAACACCCTGTGTCTCCCAGTAACACAAACACACAACCGATAACACCCTGTGACACCCAGTAACACAGACACACAACCGATGACACCTTGTGTCTCCCAATAACACAGACACACAACCGATAACACCCTGTGTCACCCAGTA